GAAAGATGGCTTGAAAAATTTAATACTCACAGGACATATTGAAGGAACAGAGGAAAACAGTACACTAAGATGACTAATTATCATTAGTAATCGGCCTTCTGTCTTCGTATTTGGTAATCTTTGAATTCCAAACCGAAAACTTATTTAATAAACGTTTAGAATATATTTCTTCTTACCAGTGATAGAGGAAAGGATGTGGAGAAGGATAGTGGATAGATCAATGCAACCGGAGATATCGATTGACATTACTTTTGAAAAGTTGGAGATTATAGCTATCAGGGAAACAGGAAAAGGGAAGGGAGTTCCATAGGCGAGAGGTGCGAGATATGAAGCTATTGGAGTAGAAGAGACAGCTACATTTAACAGTTTCAACAGTAAAAGTGTGAGAGTGGGATGCCAGCCTCGTAGGACGCTTGAATTTATGAAGTCTGGGAACCAGCGAAAGCAGCTCATCGGAACAGTTACCATGAAAGTATTTGTAAAAAAGACAGAGAGAGGCGACGGCGCGTCTGTGAGAAAGTGACTGCAGACGATATGCCAGATCAGGGCCAATTACGTTGCATATCTGCTTCTGGAGCCTATCAAGAACCCCGAGACAAACAGAAGGGGCACTATATATGGCAGCAATACTCCATGCAAGGTGCTTTGTGTCACATGCTCGTTTCTTTTCACTGAACACGGGCGTGTATCTTTTCAACAAAATTGGAGCACGAGGGTAGGTTGAAGTCCCCCTGATTTTTTTTAATCACCATTGTACTCGATCCGATATATTCATAGCTTTTATCAATTTTTGAGTTTTTATCAATTTTGAGTTTTTATTAATTTTTGAGTTTTATCAATTTTTGAGTTTTTATAAATTTTTTGAGTTTTTATAAATTTTTTGAATTTTATCAATTTTTGAGTTTTTATTAATTTTTTGAGTTTTTATCAATTTTTGAGTTTTTATCAATTTTTGAGTTTTTATCAATTTTTTGAGTTTTTATCAATTTCTTGAGTTTTTATAAATTTTTTGAGTTTTTATCAATTTTTTGAGTTTTTATTAATTTTTTGAGTTTTTATCAATTTTTGAGTTTTTATCAATTTTTGAGTTTTTATTAATTTTTTTGAGTTTTTATTAATTTTGAGTTTTTATTAATTTTTTGAGCTTTTATCAATTTTTGAGTTTTTATTTTTTTGAGTTTTATTAAGTTTTTTGTGTTTTTATCAATTTCTTGAGTTTTTAAAATTTTTGAGTTTTTATCAATTTTTTGAGTTTTTATTAATTTTTGAGTTTTTATCAATTTTGAGTTTTTAATCAATTTTTGAGTTTTTATAATTTTTGAGTTTTTATCAATTTTTTTGAGTTTTTATAAATTTTTTGAGTTTTTATAATTTTTTTGAGTTTTTTTTATTAATTTTTTGAGTTTTTATCAATTTTGAGTTTTTATCAATTTTTGAGTTTTTATTAATTTTTTGAGTTTTTATTAATTTTTTGAGTTTTTATTAATTTTTTGAGCTTTTATCAATTTTTGAGTTTTTATCAGTTTTTTGAATTTTTATCAATTTTTGAGTTTTTATCAATTTTTGAGATTTTAACAATTTTTGAGTTTTAACAATTTTTTGAGTTTTTATTAATTTTTTGAGTTTTTATCAATTTTTTGAGTTTTTATCAATTTTTGAGTTTTTATTAATTTCTTGAGTTTTTATTAATTTCTTGAGTTTTTATCAATTTTTGAGTTTTTATCAATTTTTTGAGTTTTTAAGTTTTTGTGTTTTTATTAATTTTTTGAGTTTTTATTAATTTTTTGAGTTTTTATGAATTTTTGAGTTTTTATGAATTTTTGAGATTTTATTAATTTCTTGAGTTTGTATTAATTTATTGAGTTTTTATCAATTTTTGAGTTTTTATCAATTTTTTGTGTTTTATCAATTTTTGAGTTTTTATCAATTTTTGAGTTTTTATCAGTTTTTTGAGCTTTTATCAATCTTTGAGTTTTAATCAATTTTCGAGTTTTAATCGATTTTTGAGTTTTTATCAATTTTTTTGAGTTTTTATCAATTTTTGAGTTTTAAAGACGGTCTGAAAAATATCCTTAATTTCTGCTGGTTTTTTATTACAAACTGACTTCACAATTTTACTTTTTCAACAATAAATATAAATGAACTTGATATCTTCTGTATTAGATACAATGAATAAAAAATATATATTCAAACAAGAATTCTAATTAATCACTGCAAGGAAAATATTCATTTTTAGTGTGTTCGATAAGTAAATCTACTTTAAAAAAAATTGTAAAAGATTACGAAAAAAGACTAAAAACTGTCACATCCTAATCAAGAACAAATACCACTTCGCACGTAAGGCACACAGGCTGTTGTCGCAGCGTTACACCAAGCTACTTCACATATACAGTTTCCCAAAGATTCAAAAAGACGGTATTCCGTTCAAGCCGATTGTTAGTGGCCAAAAATCGAAAAAAGTCACCATCATATGTCTGAAACTCCGCTCACTTCGCGTAAATAACCAAAATACACAGAGTCCTCAAGGACACATGGCCCAGGGGATAAAGACTTTGGTTAAATCCAGTGACTAGACCCAAAGAGTTGTGAGTTCAATACCAAGCCGTAGCAGTAGAGAGTTGAGTTAAAAGGAAATAACTGAGGCATCCGGAAGAGGCATGGCATGTGGAACTAGAAGAATGCCTGGGACCCCCGGTGGAGGAAATAAAGGGTTAGGTCCGAAATTCCAGTCACCGGTCTGGACGTTGTGAATATGGCAATGAAGATGATGATAACAATCCGAATAATGTAAATAATGCAAGTAATCATAATACCTGATCTCAGCGATAGAGACAGTCAATGAATGAGATCTGGCGTCATTTGTTAGGTTATTAATAAAAGCAAGAGATAGATAAAAGTGTATCTAACACTATAATACTTTTAGGCACAAATTATAAAAAGAAATGTTTTAAATTTGCATTGTTTATTGAAAATAAAAGAGAGAATTGTAGAAGTATCCTTGACACGGCTGGTAAATTTTATCTAAGATGGGGCAGTCCTATAATTCAACCAATTGATTAAAACTATTAAGGCTAAGGTTTCAAAATTTTACCACCAGACAGTTCAAGAGTTACATGGCCTAGTAGATTAAAGCGTTGCTTCAAACCGATACCTTCCTGGTTCGTGGCTAAGTAAAGCAAGTCGATTTTGGAACTGTGGTATTGCACTCAATTTGAAAGTTGGGGGTTTGACATGATAAATGATGACGTAAAATATTCTTTTGAAAATGTTTTAAATTTGAATTTGTTTATTGAAAATCGCACTGTATAAGATATGGCATCATAATATAGCTAAATTGTTTTATAATATTATAAATTCCATTTAAAATAAATGAAGGTCTTATTTGAAAGCACAATGATTCAGGAATATTGTATTTGTGGCATCAAATAATATTTACATTAAATATGCAATTTGTGAATTTTCATTAAATTATAAATTTTGTAAGGCTGCACTATATGACTTTCAGTGACCCCGGAATTAAATTCCAACGATAAAATTTGGAACCTAAAGTTAATCTTAAACTTATTTCCTAAAAAAAAAAAAAATAAATAAAATAAATAAACAAATAAAAAAAAAATGAAAATAAAAAAAACAGTAATGATCTAGAAAATATAAAAAAAAAATCATATTAAGGAGATGAGAAAATAAAAGAACAAGAATTAAGAAAACAGAAGATAACGATTGACATTGCATTTAATTTAATTGCACGGTGGAATAATGGATAGCGGTTCGAATCCATTAAATTCACTTAATTGCTAATACCCTTGGGAAAGCTATGAATCCTCTTCTTCTCCCTTCAGCTGTGAGAAAATAACAGGACGGACCGGGTTCTGTAGCCTTGGATGGCAAATGGTCTACCAGAAAAAGAAATGGCAACCTACTGCAGGAAAAAAATCTGCCTCGTCAGTCATGTATCGAAAAATACATGATCGTCTAAGCATGTATCACGCATGGCTCATAACTGACTGACTGAATATCAAAGTTGAGAGAGTAAGAAGCCGGAAGAGATTTTCACAAGCGAGAAGAGCGAGAGAAGAAATTTTAGCATAGAACTTGCGGTTACATCTAGACATTTAAACTGTAAAATTATGAGACCTTATCGACAATCTAGTACTGCGCTTAAATTTATAAAGTCTAGCTACCATAGCGGAAATTTCATCCGAACAATTACCATGAAAGTATTTACAAGGAAGCTACATTACGGCGTTTGGAAAATGACTGAAGCCGAGATGCCAGGTCATAAACAGTAATATTGCAGATTCATCTTTGGATTTTTTCTACGAATCTCTGAATATATTACAGGAACACCAGACCAGATGTCGTAAGAATATTCATAGCAAGTACGAATGGTAGACATTTATAAATATGGAAGATTGATTTTGCTAAAAGATATTCCCAGTAGCCCATCTTTCAAGTCATAATTGTCTCAATAATATTTCTGTGGTTTATTTAATTGTTTCCTATACTCACTTGTTTGAAATTTGAAATTCAAATTCAAATACTGCGTTAGATCGGCACATACCTAATAAAATAGCGGAGAAAAAATAATTAGATTAAATGGAAAACATTTTTTTTCTCTCGGAAGATCAAATAGTTGTCAAATCTGGGCAATTACTACGCCTTTTAACCTGAGAAGACATATTTTTCACTTAGATATTTGTCCTTCAGTCGATTCATGGAAACCATAAAATTGCCTGAATTAAATATGTTAACAGAATGTCTATTAATAGAACCGGTTGTGGCACCACAGTTCGCTAACATTTTATTTCGCCAGACTGCCTTTTACACGGGACCACGACTTGCTCTGAATTCCTCTCTTTTCCCATTCGCGAATCCCGCTTTTAAATTTTTGTTTTTTAAATAAAATATGATCTTTTATTAGGTTTTATTTTGTTAATTTTTCTCGATTAAAGGAAGAGAGGAAAAAAAAAACACACAAATCCGCATCGTTTTTATTGAAGGCTTCCGTTCCTAATCAGTTGCAAGCCCAAATCCAGCAACTGTTATCGATTCGGAGAAAATAACTTCCATCCTTTTTTTCTTTTTCTTTTGAGAAATAGGGTCTTTCTTTCTTTCTTTCTTTCTTTCTTTCTTTCTTTCTTTCTTTCTACATCCTCCTCTACCGACTGTTTGTTTGTTTCTATCTTTCTGTCACATACAGCATTCCTTTCTTTTTTTCATACAGTCGTTTTGTTTATTTTCTTTCTTTTTTTGTTTTCGTAAGGATTTCTTTTTGTTTCTTTCCATTCTTTCATTTATTTATACAGTATTTTTCTTTTTTCTTTTCATATAGTATTTTTCTTTTTTCTTTTCATATAGTATTTTTTTTTTTTTACTTTCTTCCATTCTTTCTTTTTTCGTTGTTTCTTTCTTTTTATACGGTATTTCTTTTTTCTTTTCTTTCTTTCTTTTTCTTTTCATACAGCGTTTTTTTCATTCTTTCTTTTTCTACTGTATTTTTCTTTCGCTATTTATACAGTACTTGTTTCTTTCTTATTTTCTTCCTTGTGATCTTCCAGTATTTTTCTTTCTTTCTTTTATTGTTTAAATCTTTCTTTCTTTATTTTCATACAGTATTTTTCTTTTCAAATAATATTTCTTTCTTCTTTTCATTCTTTCGTGCTTTTTTCTTTCTTTTCATACATAGTATTTTATTTTCAAACAGTATTTCTTTCTTTCATTTTTTTCCCTTGTTTCCTTTCATTCGTTAATTCTTTCTTTTCATACAATATTTTCCCTTTTAAACAGTATATATTTCTTTCATTTGTTCTTTCTTTCTTTCTTTTCATACAGTAATTTTATTTTCAAACTCTATTTCTTTCTTTCTTTCTTTCTTTCGTTCGTGCGTTTTTTCTTTCTTTCTTTCTTTTTCTTTCTTTCTTTATTTTCAAACTCTATTTCTTTCTTTCTTTTTCTTTCATTCGTTCGTGCGTTCTTTCTTTCTTTCTTTCTTTTTTCTTTCTTTCTTTCTTTTTTCTTTCTTTCTTTCTTTCTTTCTTTTCAAACTGTATTTCTTTCTTTCTTTCTTTCTTTCGTTCGTGCGTTCTTTCTTTCTTTCTTTTTTTCTTTCTTTCTTTATTTTTAAACTGTATTTCTTTCTTTCTCTCGTTCGTGCGTTTTTTTCTTTCTTTCTTTCTTTCTTTTTTTCTTTCTTTCTTTCTTTTCAAACTGTATTTCTTTCTTTCTTTCGTTCGTGCGTTCTTTCTTTCTTTCTTTCTTTTTTCTTTCTTTCTTTTTTCTTTCTTTCTTTCTTTTCAAACTCTATTTCGTTCTTTCTTTCTTTCTTTCTTTCGTTCGTGCGTTCTTTCTTTCTTTCTTTATTTTCATACAATATTTTTTATTTTCAAACAATATTTCTTTATTTCTTTCTTTATTTTGCATTTTACATCTAACGAATTCTTGTCAAAAAAAAAAAAAAAAAAAAAAAAAGAAAAGAATTTGCGAGAAACAACGTCGGGTGGTTGGTTATGGGAAATGGATTCGCAGGAAAGGGGAAAGTTATAAATTATTTGGGAGAAAGAAAATAATCTTCAGCTGTAAGTGGATGGAAGCAAAGAATAAAAAGACGACGTTGAAGAATAAAAAATTCATCCTGGCTCTGACGATGGCGAATTTGATGATGATGATGATGATGATGAAAATCATAAGGTTTTCAAAGTCTGTTAATTACGATAAAAATGGGGATGATATGGAATAATGATAATAACAGTGATTTTCAAAACTGATAATGCTGAAAATACAGATAATAATACGAATAATAACAGCAATATAATTAAAGTAGTATTGATGATTGTGATAAAAATGTCGCTGATAAAGATAAAAAGCAACATTATCAAGGATCAAAATAATGATTTCAGGGAAAACTTCTATTTTTGGAAGCCCTGCTTATTAATTCATAATTCTCACACAGCAAATGGCGTTCTTGCAAATCCACCCAAGCCGTTGAATAAATTTCCAGTCATCATATTTAATATTTCAAAAATTCAGAAAGAAAAAATATTTTTGCTGTTGGTTACCCGCAGAATAGGAATGTAACAAAATAATAAGACTTTTTTTAAAATCCTTTTTCCCAGCAAATACACGTGCGAAAGATATTTTATAGCTGGGTATATGCAAGAAGTGGAATCAGGTGCTTCGTTTCAGTCGAAGGACGGATGTCTTAGCTCATGCGGATAAGAGATGATTTGACTGAGAAGGAATTCGGTGACAAGAGCCAATCAATTGTAGTTTATTAGTTCGGTACTCGACTACGCTTAACGGAGGTCATGTGATACCATTCTTCAGAGTTAGAGTGACTCATTTCTGCGAAAAAAATCGTTATTTTTGGCAGAGTTCATCATCATCATCATCATCATCATCACCAGTCCCGTGATCAGGTCGTAGAGTCGAAGCGCCGCTGAGCACTTCATCCGTTCCCGCCACATTGAAAGCCGGAGAGGCATTCAGTCACGCGTCGGCTGCCCTGGGCCAGTAGGGCTTACGGATATATCACGTCGAAAAACCGTTTCTCGTACGATCAGCGAAGTTAAGCAACGTCAATCCTGCTCAGTACCTCAATGGGTGACCCCTTGGAAATACCAGGTACTGTAACCTTAGATAGGCATCTAGTGGAATCGGTAACGGCTCTGAATTGGGAATCGGAGACCAGAGTTCCAATTCCAGTCGGGTTTTTTAGTTTCACTTACGCCCAGATATCCTTGAATATGAATCTACTTTTTCTCCTCCCAGCTATGGGTTAATTAGTAGGATTGTATCAATAAAATCCTTATTATCTCCGAATAATTTTTACAGTCTAAAAATAATTAATGGCTTTAGAAAACCTTCAAAATGTTTTTTAAGCCTTTAAAATACAAACCAATCATCAAACAATCAATTAGTCAAGTATACCATCACTCTCAATGTCAAACTAGAACCAATGTCTTCCAAGTTGAAGGCTCGCCTTGGTCAGGGGCACGTTGATTCCATTGGCGAAACGCTATGCAATGACCATTGACTTTAGTCTAGGCAGCTCTCCCGTTAGCGACGCCGTGAACCCCAAGCCAACCCATTGTACTGAGTAACCTTTGTTACAAAATCTTCATCTGTTCTTTTTTGGTAAGTCTTCTTTTTAAGCCAGCTGGATATCTAGTCACCCAACGCACTAGAAAATTCTGGTGGGGGAAGAGGTTTAGACCGGCCAGTCTACGAGTGCTATTGAAACCATGTAACCCAGTACTGCATTCGCCTGATCAGTATCATGGGCGACGAACCCTGACCAGAGATTTTTTTATGTTCTGTGTCAATTCAGGACGTGAGATTCATGGCTCACCGCAACTTCCTATACTTTGTATAATAAAGTTTGTATTTACACCATGTGATGGTCCGATTCCTTGTACCACGGTGATAGTCCAAGGTAGAACCAATAAAGAAGAACTCGAATACGGATATGGAATAACACAGATATATTACAAACAGGAATATATACAGAGAGGTAGAAAGTGTTAGTACGAACAATCAGGTTTAGTAGTAATTGTCTGAACGCGACTCTGTTTCGGACTGCCGCTGACTCGACTGACTGACTCGCTCGCTCTAACTGACTGATAGTCTCCTGACGGACTTCTGACGGACCTCACTCCAGACTTCAGACTGAACGGTATTTAGTCCCCCCCACGAGGGCATCATGTGGCACAAGGCCGGTTTAACGTGGGATTTTAGAGCCCGTAGGCTCGGCCAAAAATATGCCTTTTGAACCCGTATAAACGGGTTCAGGGTTGGTTTACCTCCCCGAAAGAAATTCCGCCCTTCGGCGTAGCCTCGTTCGGGTTCCTCCCCGCCCGAAGGCGGAGAGTTCAATCGATCAGCCGGTCAACCAGTCGCCCGACTTCGGACTGAACTCTCTGCTTCCTCTTGAGGCGCAGTATGTTATTATGGGTAAGGTCCCGTAATACACCATCTCTCCCAATCCATGTTCTGACATCCATTTTCACAAGATCATTTCCCTTTGTCCCTTTTGCCTTCAATCCGTAATGTGAGTATCAACTTCTCCAAGTCCTGCTTCTTCCTTTATATGCTCTAGAAATGTCAAGCGTCTCTTTCATTTTTCGTTACATTTTTCTTAAAACTTCCTCGTTACTTACATGTTCATACCATGGTATTCTCGGCATCCTTCTGTAGAATCGTATCTCTGTTGCCTCAAGTTTCCTCCGCTTTATCTGTGAAGAAATTGTTCAGCATTCATTACCATATCGTAAGGTTGATATTTCATATTTGTCTTTGGTCCTAACGAGGTTTTCCTGTTTCTTAACACGTTATCTTTCACTTTTGAAAGGCATTTTTCGCTATGTCAAGGTGGATAGTCTGGTGGTGTAATGGCTGGCGGATCTGAATGACAACGGAAAACCAAGTTTTCAAATTGGAAAATAGACTAGTCCAAAAACACCTTGTTTTGTCATAATGCTTGCAATCTATATTATTGTAGGGACCCCATCAATCGCTGTACCTTCATTCCGTTCTACGTTTTCGGTATTCATTTCAACTCTTGGCCTCCTTTCACGTACTTGTCTTTTGGAGTAGATAGTTTCATATAAATCTTTATTATCCAAAAAACGTTTAATAGGGACACAATTTGACTATTGCCATTATAAATTCTTTGTATAATGTGGCCAAACAAATGACATGATCAACTCTCTCAATCAGAGTCAGGGTTTCACTGGTACTTCTCACCAATCTTATTTTCTTTGACTACCAAGTGATGGGGTTAATTCTAGTATTTGTCCCCTACAAAAATATAACAAAACCCTCTTGACTTCCACCATTTGGAATATTCTCAAAAGAAGCATCAGCAAACAAAACAACTTGAACATACGCTAATACTCTTCGGACATTTATGAACCTATCTCATCTCCAGCTATGGATTAAATAGTAGCATTTGTATCTGTTATCATTGCTATTCTAAAAGCAAAAAATGACTTTAGCAATATTCACTCGCAAAAACAACATATTCTTACAATCCAAAATATACTCATTCTTAACTTAGAAAATGTTAATACAGTTAATACTAATAATCCGTAAAAACAAATCATCAATCATCTGTTGCTGATATCACCTCGATTGTGATGTGTATAGACATTTTATATTAAATATTTATGGGCTCCTGGAATATTTGTCCCGCAAACAATATCCCGAAAAGAAAACACTTACATGAACACATGAAAAATTATAAAAAAATAAAACGCAGTACCTGGTGAGTCGTCTTTAATGAAGCTTGTATGTATGAACGAATGTATGTATGTATGTATGTATGTATGTATGTATGTAGGTATAAGTGTGGGTTTGTAAACAGTGACTATTACGGCTAATGATGCAAGACTCTTCGGTGAATCGAATCGAGTTCTCTAAGTCACTGTGTGTTTATCTAAAAATAAATACGCTTAAATTCACCTTCATCCCTGCCATGCTCCAACCGCTTAGTGGTAGAATCCTCCACTGACGTCAATCCAGTCGGGTTTCAATCCTAGCTAGAGGCAACCGGACGTCTAGCCACGCTAATGATCTGTGATACAGCCAGTCTGTCTGTGGATGGCAATATATATATATATATATATATATATATTTACTATAATTATAATAAAAACATTTTACATTGATACACAAATTTATATATATATATATATATATGTAGTGGTACTCGCTTGGAAGAAAATTGGGTATTTCTCTTTGTTTTAGAAGAAACCAGTACCCAAGGAAAAATGAGGAATAAAAAAGAAAGCACATGAAATTGAGGCGAAAACAATCGTCCAGAATTCAAGCTCAGAATCCAAAAAGAAAAAACCCCTCCAAAACGAGTAAAAGCAACTACGTAAAGTGCTCAATACACGAAGTAGTGCAAACCTAAGATAAAACTGAGGAGCCAGGCAAATCTACCTAGGTTTCACCTAAACGGATCATCAGGGTATATATATATATATATATATATATATATTATATATATATATATATATATATATATATATATATATATATATATATATATAAAAAGAAAAAGAAACAGTAAGATATAAAATCCGGTGTTCTTATAGATATTTTTATTTTTACAAAATAATGCTCAATGTAAATTTACAGAGCATTAATATTATAAAATTAATTGATTTAAATATGTTTTTTTTTACACAGTTCCAACCATGTTTCAAAAATAGAAGCTAAAAACCCCAAATTTAATTTTTGCAATTAAATTAAAAGCATTAGTTCCATTTTTCGCTTGAAGATGAAATGGAACTAATTTTTAATTTAATTGCAAAATTAAATTCGGGGTTTTTAGCTTCTATTTTTGAAACATGATTGAAACTGTGTAGCGAAAAAAAAAACATTTTAAATCAATTAATTTATAATATATATATATATATATATATATATATATATATATCAGAACAATTTTTAGGGAAAATCTATGACAAAGTGGAAAAGGTGTTCGTATGTTGCGTTATGTCGGGGACTAAAATGATTGATACGATTACACATGCATAGGAAAGAGCTGGGACGCTGAGAGTTTTAAGTCCAAAGTATTATTATTTTTAAATATATGTTTTGGGTAAATAATCTCGCCAATTTGATTTAATTACCTTTTATTATGTTTTTTATCACTTTCCTTATTGGATAGCCAACATTGTGATAATAGAAGATCTGTCAAGAAAGTTGAATTTTTCAAAGAATCGCAAATTCATATAAATCAGTGATGGATAGATATAAAGAAAGATAGATGATATTTTTCAAATAATCTTAAGGACAAACAAAATCAGATGATAGATAGATATTAAAACAGATATAAATCAGTTACAGATAGATAGATAGATAGATAGATAGATAGATAGATAGATAGATAGAGATAGATAGATGTAAATCAGTTATAAACAGATTAAATCAGTTACAGACAGATAGATAGATAGATCAAATAGACAGAAATAGATATAAAGCAGTAATAGATAGATAGATAGATAGATAGATAGATAGATAGATAGATGTAAATCAGTTAAGTTATAAAGATAGATAGATAAATCAGTTATAAACAGATATAAATCAGACAGATAGATAGATAGATAGATCGATAGATAGATATAAAGCAGTAATAGATAGATAGATAGATAGATAGATAGATAGATAGATAGATAGATAGATAGATAGATGTAAATCAGTTAAGGACAAACAGAAATCAATTATAGATAGAGAGATAGATAGATGTAAATCAGTTATAAACAGATATAAATCAGTTATCAGACAGATAGATAGATAGATCAGACAGATAGATAGATAGATAGATGAAATCAGTTAAGGACAAACATAGAGATAGATAAATAGTTAAAACAGATATAAATCAATTACAGACAGATAGATAGATAGATAGATAGATAGATAGATAGATAGATAGATAGATGTAAATCAGTTAAGGACAAACAGAAATCAATTATAGATAGAGAGATAGATAGATGTAAATCAGTTATAAACAGATATAAATCAGTTACAGACAGATAGATAGATAGATAGATCGATAGATAGATATAAAGCAGTAATAGATAGATAGATAGATAGATAGATAGATAGATAGATAGATAGATAGA